TTTAAATCACAAATTAAGAAGACCCTAATAATACTCTGCCAATTACCGAACAAATCCACCAAACCTAAACTCCTCGGCTTCTTCATTTTTTTTTTGTGTTTGAATTCCCCTGCCAAGCAATATCTGCCCCCCAAATCAATTCACAGGGCCCATTCCAAATTTCCGAACACCGATACCCAAAAACTCCCAAGAAACCATCATCATCAAGATGCTTCTCGATATCATAACTCAGAACCAGACCTGCCCCCATCTTATTTGAAGGTTAAAGAGAAAACTCAAGCAATGTGGGTGGGGCAAGTGATGTATCCATTTGTACCCAAAATTCTAAAGTTGATTGTTATAGTCAATGCTCTGCAAATGACCAAGAAAGTGAAGGTCTAGGTGCAAGGTAATTAAGCATCATCTAAAAGGGAAACCATCAAGAAAACTCGTTACCTGGGGCCAGCTACTACTGTCTCAATTTAATTGATTAATTACCTGGGGCCAGCATTCAAAAAAAATAAAACAATAATAATAATAATCTAAAATCTAGTGATCAAATGTTTGAAGGTGGAAGCCGACTACATGGGATTGGTACCCCACGCCTGTAATCCTTTCCCCCATAATTACGTAGTTTAAAAAATTAAAAAAAAAAAATTTGTGGAGGTGGAGTGCGTTTGTGGTTGTTTTAAGACCAAAAAGTTATTGTAATTCTCCTGCAAACCACAAGACTCTGTTCAAAGACCTGAAAGTTATCGACACCTTTTGCCCCTCTCCATGCCTAGACCAGGCCTCATCTTTGCCGCTCTTCTTCTTCTTCTTCTTCTTCTTCTTCTCGCTTTAATTCATGAAACCTGCAGTGCCAAAGATAAACATTACTGTCCACCTTCTTCTTGTGGAAATAATTCGAATATTAGCTACCCTTTCAGATTAAACACAGATCCGCCTAATTCCTGCGGAATGACTGCGGATCCAGTATATAATCTATCCTGTGAGAACAACCTTACAATATTGCACTCTGATCAATCAGGAAAATTCTACGTGAAAGCAATCAATTATGACAATCAAACAATTCGAGTAGCTGATGCTAGTTTTGAGGAAGGGAGCTGCTCCATACCTCAATATTCTTGGGACGACTCCAACTTCTCAACGTTTTCACAATCTTATTCTCATTTTTCTTATTATTATTCTTATTCTTATTCTTATTATTATGATGTTTGTTTTTGGGAGAGAATTCTTTTCATAAGTTGCGGAAATCTTGTAAGTGATCCTCTTTATGTGGAAGCTCCTGCCTGCATTAATGACAGCTCTTTCTCCACACCTTATAGGCCTAAATCTGAAGGCAAAAGGTATTATTATGTGAAAGTTGGAAGGACAACTCCACTTGAGTTAAAACCCTCATGCCGTATTGAGCTAATGGCACTTACACCTTTCATACGGGAGAAGAATTACGACAACCTCTCCTACCTGGACATCCACCATTGGTTAGCATATGGAATTGAGTTGTCGTGGAGGCATGCTTCATGTGGAAACAGCAGCGATTGGCATTTTTACTACGACATCAATGAGGAAAACCAGTGTGTTAATGTTTCTTATCCTACGTATCATGGTACTTTAAAAACAAACTCTTTTGATTTGAGTTCCAATTGTGCATATATATGCCTTTTCATTCCTTGGTTGTATCTTTTTTTAGTTGCAAAAGGTTTTGGCTAATTTTGTTTATTTCATGCGGTGAAAGTGAACCCAGTTTACGAAGTTTTCAAAAGAGCTGTAAATCGGCTCAGTTATCTTTTACCTGGTAAGTATCTCTAATCCACATCTTGTTCAAATAGATTATATATATGAAGAGTAAAATCTTAAGTAGTATAAGGAGGGTAT